ATTCAATGGTAGAGATGCTCAAGTCACAAAGGTAATCGTCCTTCACAATATGCTTCTAGTTTGTTTTGGCTTATGCATGTTTTTGTGTGATCTTCTTGCTGGCTGATGATTATTTCTGGTTTCTTCTTTTTTCCTATCAGGAAGAGAAGCATGACTCTGCACCAGCTGAATCCGCCGCCGGGTATTGAGTCCTCATTTAAGAAATAAGAGTTTCTTTCCATATGGGTTCACTGCTAAAACATAATACATTTGCCAATAAATGTCATCCACACCTTGGTGCTAAGTCTTCTCATTTTTATTTTAGTCCCTAATAAATCGTTGAAACTGGAAATTTCTTTCTGTCTTTGATACAGGGACAAGGTGAAACCAAAGCCTCAAAAGAAACAAGCCCATGAGACATCTGAAGATGATACTCAGTCTTCTAAGTATTTGTTTCACTTTTATATCTATCTTCTCTTTTCTTATTGTGGCAAGCTGTGGTCTTTCTGCATTTGGCTCCCATTTTTTTGTCTTTTATGTTGATTATAACTTAAATGATTTCTTAGTAGCCCGAAAGCTGACGATGGCAAACCACGTAAAGTTGGTGCACTTCCAAATTATGGGTTCAGTTTCAAATGTGACCAACGGGCTGAAAAGAGAAGAGAGGTTTGCGTTGTTGATTCGCTATACTTGTTCTCTCTCCACAGACATGCTTAAATAGTCATCTTTCTTTTTTTCACATGGTGCAGTTCTATGTTAAGCTTGAGGAAAAGACTCATGCTAAAGAAGAGGAAATTAATAGCATGCAAGCCAAGTCCAAGGTTGTCTTCTAAACCCTCTTCTTTGTTACAGTGTGTTCTTGACCTACTTCTGTTAAAACGAAACTCTTGTTTCTCTCTCAGGAAACACAAGAAGCTGAGCTTAGGAAGCTGAGGAAGAGCTTGAACTTCAAAGCCACACCCATGCCTACCTTTTATCAAGAACCTCAGCCGCCTAAAACAGAGTTAAAGAAGGTACTTCTGCTCAGCCACGATCTCTCTTTTTAGTGAAGTACTAAATTCTCACATTTCGTGTCATGTTGTTATTTACTTCCAAGTAGATACCACCAACGAGACCCAAATCTCCAAAACTCGGGAGAAAGAAGACTGATTCTGAAGATACTCAAACCCCTCGCCTCGGTAGGCTGAGCCTAGATGAGAAAACTTCTAAAGATAACCCAACTGCTAAGGGAATCATGGCAACAGTTGATCTCAAAAAGCAACCGGTGCGCAAGTCACTTCCAAGATTGCCATCTCAGAAAACAGCACTTCCCGATGGAAAAGCCGCCACTGCCACAACCTCAGCAAAGGTTAAACCTGAAAGAAAGAAACTCGAAAAAGATGCAAAAACCGTAAACCAGTCTTCACATCCCATAGAAGAGGAAGCACAAGTGACTGTATCATCCAATGCTGAAGCAGAAGATTCACATGAGATTGTATCTCCAAGGATGAATGAAGACAGAGCAGAGTCCATTGCGGTATCTGAAGCGGTTGCTGTTGAACAGTGAAAAACTCTACGGTACGAACATTACTCTCAAGACTCATCATATCTTGCATCAATTAAGGAGGAGAGACAAGAGGAAAACAAAACCGTATAATATTTATATATATATGACTTTGATCTTCGACCAAAACTTATATGCGAAGAGATGGGTAAAAAGAGTGAAAAAGAATCATATGGACTTGGTTCTAAAGGTTGCTGCTTTTTATATATTTCTCTATGTTTGATGGTAATGTCTTTTTAATCTTTTAAGTTTGTTTTTTTTTTTGATGTCAAGATATTCTTTTCTTTTTGATGCTTTGTTTCCTAAAAGGTGAATATTCAGGAGATTCTGCGTTCGATTTGTGTATTATTTTCTTAACTTTTTGATTATTTTCTTATTTTTGTTAGTTGGCTTCTGTGCAATTTCATTTGTTGTTATTGATTCTCCTGTGTCCCAAATTTTGTGACATCTCTCTCCAATTGAGCAATAATTGATTCTTTCTCAAGCGCAGGACCAATCTCAATTTCAATCTTTTTATAGCTCTAAGCATATGGACACAAATCACTTTCTTTGGAATCTCACATTTTGCTACAATAATGTATCTTTGGACTTTGGATACTTGGTTCGTCTTTTCACACACATTGGCATCAATCTACTTCAATGTGCAAAAGATCTTTTATAAAATAAACCGGACTTCTGAGTTTTTATTATATCAAACGTTTAGGATCAGCACAAAGGGTCAAGACACAACTGATACAGATGAGTTATTATATCAGGTGATTGGTCAACTGAACTGAT